GTGACCCAGAATAGACCCCCTTGGGACTTCAAATTGTTAAGAGAGACAACAATTTTGATTAGTGAATAAATGGAATGTCGTTCGGTTGAACTGGATAAATTAGAACCAAATGCCCTCAATATGGAAGATATCACTTCACTCTGTGGAGGCAAAAAGGCAGTAGGCAAGCAGCATGTAAAAGGCAACCGACTCTGAACTGTGATTTAATTATTTCATTTTATTAATTAGTCGGGATTTACCAACAATATTCTTGAAGGTGGAGTTTTTCATCTAGTTTCTTGGTCTCTTTACTTCATTTTTAATCATGGGGTATTTGTCAAGTAGTGAAGTCCCCATTCGCAAACTTCCTCTCCCACAAAAAATCCTGTACTCCCGGTGAATAGTGTGGTTAGCCACCCCAGGCGGTTAGTGTGGAAAAAATAATTTCGCTCGTCTTGTGTGTGCGCTTCCCGTGTATACATATTACGTGTAGTAGGCTACTTAACTTTAACTTCTTTTTGGATTCTATCTAAGAGTTCCTAGCCTCCTACTAATTCGAAAAAAAATCTTCAATTGAAGAGGACTCCCCACCCAAAATCACCCACGCCCATCCCCCACATTCAGTGCTTTGTACCTTCCACTTACTTCTTCCATTGCTACATTCTAGATCCGCCACTGCATATTTTTTAAATATACATAAAAAATACTTATAACATGATTATATTATAGCCTCCTAATATCCCCTGGTCCCAATGTTTTATACTGCCTGTGTTTGTGTGTGGGCGTAATGCAAAACTACAACTGATTACCCTATAGGATTGGATTTATTCGGTGTAAACACCAAGGAGCCCACACAAGTCTAGAAGAAGACTTATTTACAGTATGGTGTCTTTCTGGTGGTGATTGGGCAGTAAACCGGGAGACAATACCCTACATGTTTAAGAAGAGTGTACTGGGCACAATGTCCGATCAGTTATTATGATATATAAAATCATATCTACAACTCATGTGCTTTTAGAATATGTAATAAAAAGTAAGGGTCACCTTTAGATGTGTATAAGAGACAGAGGCAAAATCATATAGATCTAATTAATCTATCATAAAAAGTAGAACTTAAAATAATTGTCTTTGAAATGTATTTACTTTACTTTACCTACCTCAAAGCTAATATTTTCTTTACACGCTATCCTCATACTTCCCAATGGCACACGCTCTCGAGTAGTGAAAATGCTAGATGTTTGGGGGCGGAGATTCCGGTATATTGCTATCAGATCCAGAGGTGACGGAACTAGGGGATGCGTACATAGATAAAACTATGTAATGCATGAATAAAGTTCGGGGTTTGTCTTGTAGTGAAATGATTATTGTACATTTTAAGTGCTCCCTCCATGCATAAGTGTAAGCTAAATTATGGTGATTAATTAGCGAAGATATGGAGACAATTATTTCGAAGTTTCCTCTTTCCAGGGGATGCAAATGCTTTGTGAAAATGAGTACCGCGGCGTACTCATTTTCACAAAGGAATACACGCAACTGGTTAGCTAACAATATGCAAATGTTACATGAACACCCGGGAAGGAAGGTCCAATCACGTTCTATTGCCAAGCAAACGTCTATACTGTAGCGTGGGGGAGGGGGATAGCCTACTGATGTACTGTGTGTCTAGCGGGGGAGGATGAGGCATAATAAGACGAGGCATAATAAGACTAGGCCTAGGCCTAAGTAGACAATGCAATTATATGTGATAGAAAGTACACTTTCGAAAGAAATAAATTAAAATAAGAAAAACAAAATAACTAAGAATAATTCAGTTGCAGATACCTTGTTTAAGTATTATACAATGCTAACAATGCGGCTCTTGTAGCCCTAGCTAGGCAAGGCATTCATGTGCAAAGCAGTGGCGTTTATTTATCCATGAAAAAAGCACGCCGGGAAAGTTTGCCTTACCAGGAAAAGGTGACGTAATCTAGCTTATGACGTATGCATGCTAAATACATTGTGAGTGTGATATCACCAAAAAATATTTCTATTACAGTATAACTAAAATATTAATAACTACAAGGTTTGTGGGCGTAAATTCGTTTAATGCGAATTAAGGGTAGCACCATCTCCTTGCCATACAAATTACAGCTACCACTGACGTCTCAGTCAAGAAATACGGGTAGCTGAAGTTATTTCTCGCAAAGTTTTTTCAAGCTAAATCATACAATACCTCATTTCTATATCTTAAAAGACATGGCATGGGTTTTTTAAGTGTTTAAGACAAGTTTTAGCTGATTTTGTTTTGTTAATTAGTTAAGGAAGTTTGATGAATCCACCCCTTGAACGGTAGCCATTATAAACCCAAAAATGTAATTTTTTGCATTATCGTGTATTGTGAATGATTAATCTTTCAAATATTCCACTGGGTTACTATCAGGTTAGCAGGTGACTTTTATTGATAGATGTTATGGTGGGTTTCTATCAGACTAGGGTCACAAACATATAGTAGATGGACTCAATTAGAAATTGCAAGCATTAATGTAAACACAGGAGAAATAACAGTCAGAGAGATGATGTTGACTTCAACGACAAGTTATTTATTTCGAATAGGAACTAGGAAATTATACCAAACTATATCTTAACCCCCAACTTGACGCCAGCAAACATCAAGCTAGTAAAATAAAGTAAAGTAGTATTAATTATGAGATCCATATAATCATATCAACAGTCAAAGAAATAATAGTTAGTTAGCATAAAACAATAATAGCAACCATGAAAGTACAGCCATTGTGAGGTGCAACCACAACTGACCAATTGGTTCATTATCTAGCATTAATTATGGCATTGAACTTCTAAGAAACCATTAGCTTAAAATTACCAAGTAACAGTAATAATTAATAACCAATACACTAATAAACCGGTGCACGGTGATAATAACATAAGTTCCATTAAAGTAACTGATAATGATTTAACTGGCTTACAGCCTTACAGAAAACATAAAATGAAAGAATCATTAAATCAAAATGAAACTAGATTTGAACTCGTCACTAAGGACGAGTTAGGTGATCCGCCGCACTTTGACCCACGAGGAACTGTGCGCGCGGCGGATTGAACAATAATTAAATGCTGATAATGGAATAAAACAATAATTTAGTTTGTTAAAAAAGAATTTTGAGCATTTTAAAAGATTTACTCAAGCGTACGCGCACGTCATGACGCACGTGCGCATCTTAATGACACTGTTGTCTTTTCCTATGAGATATATATGTATCAACTTTCATTGACAAACGCCTATTGGTGAAGGAGAAATGATCATTCATAATATTTATCGAATAAAAATTCAGTTTTTTTGACTTCAGGATGGCAATATGGTGACGGCACAATGTCCGATCAGTTATTATGATATATAAAATCATATCTACAACTCATGTGCTTTTAGAATATGTAATAAAAAGTAAGGGTCACCTTTCATTCTAAGGAGCTATATTTGATTATAAATAGGCATAATTATTAGCATATGTAATATTTGACGCACGCGTACGCGCACGTTAAGACGCGCAAACAAAAAGTAAGATACCTAACATTCAAACTTGATCTGAAGTATAAGCCCATTTAATATTATTCGGAAATGACGAATGGTTAAGATGATTTGACGTCATCAACGTTTAAAGAGAAGAAATATAATTTTTTTCTTATTTTTTAATTCAGATGGCAATATGATGACGTCACAATGTCCGATCAGCTATTATGATATATAAAATCATATCTACAGCTCATGTGCTTTCAGAATATGTAATAAAAATTGGGTGTCACCTTTCATCCTAAGGAGTTATAACTGATTAAAAAAAGACCTGATATAAAGCATATTTTCAATTTGACGCACGCGAACGCTCGCGTTATTACGCGCGCACAAAAATGTAATGTGCATAACATTTAACCATGACCTGAAGTTTATGCCCACTAAATATGATTCAGAAATCACGAATGATTAAGGTGATTATGGGGTCATCAATGGTTTGACGAAAGAAAGATAAGGGGGTAAGCAAAACCCTATATTTTGACCATGATGACGTCATCGAAATGTGAAAAAGTGTACGTGTATGTAAGTGAATTGGCTTAGCTATAACATACTCAAAGTTGGAAGAAAATCGACCAAGAATAAGCGAGATACGCTCAAATGCGCATTTTTTTTAAATGACGACATCGATAATATTCAGTTTGTTGAATTCAGATGGCAATATGATGACGTCATAATGTCCGATCAGCCATTATGACCTATAAAATCATATGTACAACTCATGTGCTTTCAGAATATGTAATAAAAATTGGGGGTCACCTTTCATTCTAAGGAGCTATAATTGATTGAAAATAGGCATGTTTATGGCCTATTTTTGCTATATGTCGAAAAAAACGCGCACATGTGCTTTTATTTTCTATGCGCGCGTACGGCATTGCTATTGACCCTAAATGACCAAAAAAGATTGGAAATTTGTGAATACAGTGTCAGGGACCTAAAACATTTAAAAAAACAATATTTTTAACTTCTGTACGCGACACGCGTGTAAAAATGCGCACGCGGTGCCGAAAATTTTAAAAATGTTGAAATGCTCAAAATGGCTTAAAACGTGCTCTAATTAAGTCAAAAATTGATTTTGACCATTTTAAAATTTTGACGCATGCGTACGCGGGCGTTATGAAGCGCACGCGCAAAATGAGTGTACATTACAATCAACCTTCACTCGAAGTTAATGCTCACGTAATACGATTTCGAAATGTCAATTGGTTAGGCTGATATAATCAATTGCGAAAAAAACACAAAAATGTGCGTAGATGACGTCACACGTTTCTGGTAACCTTGCAAAGCTTATTGTCACTATTCCAAGCCAAGCCAAATGTTTTGTTGTGGTCGTTTTGTGCGTAGCTCTCGGCAAATTTGAGATATCGTGCGAACAGTTATTTGTCAGAATGTAGAATAAAAAAAAAAAGATCTCGTACAATAACAATAGGTGATCCGCTAGTGTAGCGGATCACCAAAAAAGGTACAAGAAATAAAATAACACATAGTTGTCATACACAACTATCGAATAAAAGTAAACAAAGGAACTTAATCCCACCTTGCACAAGCTTCATGCTAGGATGCAACTCTGTATCTTATCTGCATTTAGCCCTGCCTATAGCAAGTCCTGTTAATTAAAATAACATAGCACTTCAATACATGGTAATGCTGTAGCTGGCATGACCTTTGGCCTACATCCACCAGTTACAAAACTTGGTATTCTTTACAATATTACACAATTTAATTCAACTATCATGTTATAATACATTCCATAATCTTGATTATCCTTACTGGACCTGTATCACAAGATAATAACTTGAGTTACAAAATAACAGATAGTGAACTTCAAATTACAGCGCACAGCTGAGACAGGCAAATACCGTTCGTCGAATTAGGCCCATATCGGCCGCTATCTATAGCGGCCGCCCTCCAGAACGGCCGCCAATGCGTGTATATGTATGGAACGCCGATGACGCATTCACAATGCAGTACATTGTAGTTAAATGGTTTGGAATAGGCCTAGGTCAAGTAGGTTTGGCATAGGCCTAGGTCAAGTCGGTTTAGAAGGTGTAGGACCGGTTCCGCCGTGAACAAGTTCGGCCGAGATATATTTGTATGGAACACCAAGTAGGCGCAAAGCTATATTGCTGCTACAGACTCAGTATCCATTATTTCGTGTTTTATTGTTAGGTCTTTTTATGTTGCCAAATAATTAATGTGACATTATTATGCTGCCATTAGTTTGCCAAAACAACAGTGTATTTTATTAGGTTTTGTGTAAGTCCCGTATAAGTTAATAATTAATGATTTAGATGGCATATTTCGTTTTATCTATTTAAAACAAACGAATGTACATTATATGTGCAATCATATGTTAATAATCGTGTTGTATTATCAGGTATTTTGCTGCTAATTAATTAATGTTGTTTTAAGCAATTCAATGGCATTAATACTGCGATGAGTTTGCGAACAAAACATTGGATTTTATTAGGTTTGTGTAAGTTAATAAATGTTTCAAAAATTCATATGTTTCATTTTATCTATTTGAAACAAATAAACAATGGATTTTATTAGGTTTGTGTAAGTTAATAATGTTTTAAGATTCATATATTTCGTTTGACCTATTTGGAACAAACGAACAGTGGATTTTATTATGTTTGTGTAAGTGAATAATAATGTTTAAGATTCATAATATATTTCGTTTTATCTATTTGAAACAAACGAATTTATATGTTGATAATCAAACCAACGGATTTTATTATTTTCATATTACAGTGTCGATGCATATATTGAAGAAGAGAAAGAAGAAGAATGTTAATAATATTAATATACTGCCAAATTAATTATATTTTTCGTAATATAATATTAAAGCTTACAGTAATTGATGCTTTATGTTTCGTTGTATATTATGTCTAGGCCTATACGTTCTTTAATGATTGATTGATTTTGAAGCAGAGAGTATATAAACGCCACAAAAAGTCACATTATTTATGCCCCGTCCGGCACTCAAAATTTCCGACCGACGCTGACAGTCTGCTGAATGGCATTGCCTTTTTTCAATGATTCTGTGTATTATTTTAGAAAAAAAAAAAATCAGTGGATTTTTATTATATTTTTCGTAATATTATTAAAGTTTACACTATTTGATGCTTTATGTTTCGTTGTATATTATGTCTAGGCCTATACGTTCTTAAATGATTGAATGACTGATTTGAAGCACGAAAAAACACGAAATACATCGCCCTAAAATCCAGAACTTAACTGTAAACGCCCTTCATAGAGAAGATAACAATAGAAATTCCGTAGTTACGCTTGTATTAGATAGGGCAAAACATGCCCATTCGTGCAGAACGAGTGTGCAGTGTCTGACGATTGATGAATAACCTAATGCGAATTCACCAACTGATTAAAAGTTCAACCTGGTTTAACGAGCAATAATACGGTTATAACACACAACAGAGGTTAATGATCATAATCAATGTCTTTATTAAGATTATGTAAAATAATTAATAGACAAGAAAACAACACGTCGTATAGGCCATGGCCACAGACCCTACATTATAGGGTCCACAGACCCTACATTATAGGGTCTGTATAGGCGAACAACTCGAGTAACAACCACATTCCTAAACCATCGCACATGTTCGTACAGTTTCCATGTACATAGATCAAGCCAGTCGGCTATTTTCTGCGTTTGACATTCTTTCCTTGTCTCCGATGGCATTCCTGAACTGGCGGCGTACAAAACTTTCTTATTCTCCCAAGAGTATCATTGGACCCTACTTGTGAGAACGTTTCTCACTGAATTAATTGTTACTAGGCAACTTAGCTGGCAAATTGATACCTATTTAAAGCAATGTATTTCCATTCATGCCTAGATTTAATTATTAATTAATTATTTAAATACGGTAACCAATCAATCACTTGTACCTGGAACGTATAATCGTCTTGCAATAGGTACGCTTGCTTAATCGTACATATATAATTATAATGCAGGATTAATTAATTATATTATGTACTTTATTCTAAGATACAAATCAAGTTTCTTGATAAGTTACAGCTATAGTTAAATTAAATTTCTTCTATTAAAGCAATAAAGTTTCAACTTAGAATATTTTGCAGGATAAAGTAAACACTTCTTAACTAAAAATTATGCTAAACTACTTCGTAAAACAATCAATCTTAATAATAAAGTATTTCGCCATACGTTCTTTCAAGAACATAAGAAAGTCTTGTTTTGAATATTGGCATAGGGCCTATTCTATTTTTTCAGTAAATGTTTTCTCATACACGATTTCTAACAAAATGTTTTCGTTACACAACTACTCACTCTGGCTAGACAATGAACATGCTTGCTTCATCAAATAAGACAAAAGATATCAATTAACGTCTCCGTGGTAACGTTAACTTTTAACCCTACTACTCTAGTATTGCTTTTTATTGAGTAACAAAAGATTGAATCGATAGCATGAATCGTGGACATATTTTGAGTATAAATAATTAAGAAACGAATATCATATGTATGAACT